TATGTCTTGTACACACACAATGCTAACTCACACAACGACCACCTATACAAAAGACACATTGTACCCCTTTGAGTTAGCTCTTTTTAGCTTTGAACATTTACCATTTTGTTGTCCCTTGGATGTGCATGCAGATGAGAAACTAGTCTGAGGAAAAGAAGCCTTAGAATTGGATGGAGAAGTAGGCTCAGAAAAATTAAAAGAGGGGGATTTCAAGATCCCTTTCAGAGGCTTTTTACTCACGGAAACCACCACCTTCCCGGAATGATCATTGCCTGTAAAGTACTCTTTCCTGTCTTCGTCGTGCCTCCAAACACCGTTGCCATACTCGTGATAATGATCATGATCATGATGATCATCATACCTCATGGTTTGGATTTTGGACATTTTGGGCAAATTCAATTTTTGAATTTTCCAAAATGAATTTTTGTTATCAAATATGGTTTCAATTTTTACCCAAAACACTCCTACAACAAAACGATTGTTTTAGTATTGACCAAAAACATAATGTCTAAAACACATCACATGCTAATTGGACCATAGGGTTCAAAATTGTGTTAGGTTTTTTTATGAATTTTTTCATCATATGTATGTATACCATATAAAACAAAATTATTTATTAATTAATAATATTTTTTGGAGCTTTTTTACCAGTATTTCATGACTTCAAATAATTTATTGTTTATTCATGACCTTTCCAACCTTTCGGGTCGTGAAACGAGGACGTGTGATATTTTGTCAATATTTGAGTTAGAAAAACTTTTTAAGACTAATTGAAGAGAAGAGACAAACTCAGGCTTGTCATTAGTTTGTTGGGAGTAAAGACTTCTCTCATTCACTGAACGAGAGAAGCCAAAAGCAAAATTTGATTTGGCTTTGGTTCCAATCATGGAGGAGGTAGAGCACTTGGTTATGTTGGCTGCGATCTCTACTCTGATTTGGGTGTCTCGAACTCAAAATGTTGTTACTCATGTTGTTAGCTGGATGGCTCTTCAGTTCAGAATCAATGATTTAGAGTGGCATTCCTTGCCACCTAAGTTGATTGAGGCTTTGAGTTGTGATTTCCCTTCTTCTCCTTAGTCTCTGTTTTCTTTCGCTGCTGGGAAAAGGAAGAAAAAAAAAATAATAATAATAATTTGATTTGTCATTCTCGATGCTTTGTATAAATAAAGAAAAATGATACTTTCTCTTAATTTGAAGATGCTGATTGGTATTGTATCACTACAGCGTAAACTCCACCACATGCATATCCTCTATTCGACATTTTTTACTCGTAATTTGCGAACTTGTTTTAGATCAAACTTTGATATTTTGTTCTTTGTATTATTACCCGAATACATTTGCAACCGTATTAAATTATCAAGAAGGACAAGTCTTATTGGTGGAATCATATATATTTGCAACCATATTGAATTCTATTTGAGAATTCGGATCCCCTTGGGATAATGTATAAAAAAATTCTCGTGCTAGTAGATATTGAATCGAATGGAGGTAGGCATATGCTCAGCGATATATTATGCACTTGTTATAAGAAACCGGACATCAAAAAAACAGATTCATCAATGATTAATCCTCATAATATCATACAAATATAAAATGACCAACTAATATATAATTCCTTACAAGTAATGCAGCTGAGATGGTAAGAAGCTAATATTTACATTTCACATTCAATAATTGCTCTTATTGCTGCACAATTCTAACCCAATTTTTATATTATAATTGATAAAACTTGTTAAATCAATGAAGTCACAGAGAGTGCTAAATCAATAGAACTCTTAACAACATTCATTAATATTGTTGGACAAGAGAGTTTGCAAGAGCTCAAATTGTTAACCAAAGCAACGAATATGAAACTTTTTGTACCTTGGTCCATGAGTATGGGTAGTAGAGTAATTGTGGTATGCCCCCAGTTTCATGTTGAATTCGAATGGTCCTACACAAAAATATCAAAGCCCATAAAATGATTTCCTCACAAAAAATAATTCATCTTCCGAATTATGATGTTATATAAAGAAAGGGAATGATGTTAGTGGGAACGAGCCTCATTACATCACATAACCCTCATTCCGCATCTCTAAACCTATAATTATATATGCATCTATTGTGTGGGAGGCACTATTTCTTTTTGGAATTATGTTGAAACAAACGTGGGTTATATATGAATATAAATATATAATATATAGGTTTGTACATTATATCACTTATTTATAGGAGGGAGGAAATGATACATATTAAGCACCTTGGATACTTGCAAATTATATTTAATTTCGCGGAAAATGAGAATAGCTTTCATAACTTGGAAATGAGCTCTTTTTTTCTTTTTGTTTTTTTTTTTTTTTGTTTTTTTTCATGTAACCTAGTAACTTTTGAAATATATGGAAACTCATATACCCAAACAATAAGTACTTATATATTGATACATACATAGGGATAATTTAATAAATTTTAAGTGTTGGGGACACAATTTAAAATACGAAAAAGAATGTTAGTATAAAATAACTTAACAAAAGTATTTACAAAAAAAGGAATCATACAAAAATACCCCTCAGCCTTTGTTAAGTATATTACAAAAATGCCCACTTAATCTAACATAAAATTACAAAACTAACCTTCAACAATCTAACAAAAAAGTCTCATTTTCAATTTTGGAACCCATTTCCCATCTATCCTCTCTTTCATCTTTGTGGCACACGCTAGGGCAAGCAAATAGAAACTAAAGATCACATTCTTCTATCACAATTTCCGCCTAAACGTTAATTTCAAACACAATAGAATCCATTAAAGGCTCATTTGCAGACACTATATTTTCTTCTCTCTCATCTTTGTGGCTCATGCTAGGGCAAGACAACATATCTAGCGAACAGCACAGTATGGCGACTGTTCCGACCAAAAGCTAATTTCAAACATAATTGAAGCCATCTCTCTCTTTCAATGTTGCGCTTAGTTTGTTTTTAATAGCAATAAAAAATTTCAATGCTTCTTCATTGTCATGGGCCTTTGGTTTATTGTGTTTCTTTGTTATACCAGGAGCCAATTGCATCGGAGCATTAAGTGTTTCCTGAATAATATACAACTTGCACTTAAGCAATGTAAAAAATTCACAGAACTCATGTAAAACATTCACTGTGCTAATGTAAAACTTTTACTGAATACTGTAGAACATTTACTATCTAATATAAATCCTTTATTGAATAATGTAAAACTTGAAATCCTAAAATGACTTTGCTGCAAATTTGAAGCTTCTTCATCGAAGGCGTCAATAACAAGAGGGAGAGAGAGACAGTGACACTAGTACAGCTTTGAACTGCAAAAGTGGGTATGTTCTTTGGTGCCAATCACCGTAGATCTGAAACTTCGTGCCGTCGTTAATGGCGAGAAGGAGAGATAGAGAGTGTTTGCATATTTGAACCCTAATTTTTTGCGTTTCATGATGCATAAATGTTTGTTGGGAGATGTTTGATGGGGCATAAATAGGTTGAGTGGCTCATATTTTAGTGTGGGCAATTTTGACTTTTTGATTTCTAATAATTTTTTTGTTATATATATATTTTTGTAATTCAAGGGCAATTCGGTAAAGTCAAATAAAGTGCCTTAGGGGTAATTATGTCCTAAATGTATAGATACTTTGTCATACACAAAATTACTTTGTATAACTCATCATATTTGTAATTTCTTTTTATTAAGTTGCTTTATACTGACATTCTTTTTCGTATTTGTCGAATTTTAAATTGTGCTCGTAATGCTTACCATTTATTTAATTATTCCCACATAATATAATATGTGTACTGTGTACATGCTCAAATACACACACACACACATATTAAAATTCTGTTTAAGTTCTAATTGTACACACACAAATTCATATACCACCTATAAAATTTCTATTTCTTCTCCCATATATTAAAATTCTGTTTAAGTTCTAATTGTACACACACAAATTCATATACCACCTATAAAATTTCTATTTCTTCTCCCCGTGTGTGTGTGCGCAAGTGTTTATTTTGCAATATTTAAGAGTTGATGCATTATTCCCATATTTTTAATCAGGATTGTTTAGGAGTCCATTTGATCAGAGTGCCAAATCTAAACAGTGAATTGGCAGATTGTTTGGACTGGGCTAGTATTTATGCAACTTTATAAGAAAACGAATGTAAATTAATTTGAATGTGTTTTGGATGAAGTATGTCACATGTCTGCATCAGGATTATAATATTGACAAGAGGCTATGAAAAACTTAATATTCGATATTATTTGAGCAAAGTCCATTTGTAGGTGAACCTCCAATCCAGTACTTGGTTGAATTTAAGCTTGTGGTTTGATAGTGAATGCGAAAAGTAAATATTAGTTTTAGTACTATGTGAAATTACCTTTATTATTGTTTTTCAAAGGGAAAATTTATAGAAAAGTAGACTTTTAAAAAAAAACAATTTACCTAGGAGTTAAAGTCCACACTTTTCACAGTTACTAACTTTGACAAAAAAGAAAAAATTATATAAAACGTGGATTTTGAGAGATTATTTACCTATAGTCAAAGTAACGATTTTCAAAGTTTTGAATTTTAACCATGAACATGAATTTTCACTGTTTATTTTCTAAAAGTCATTCTTACTGTATAACTAAAATCCCGTAACTACCCCTCAGTATAACTTTATTTTATGTGCTACCACATTTCATATTTGTACTTTCAGGTCCTAGTTTTGTGAAATTAGTGGATGATATTCTCATTTTAGCAATTGGAGGTGCATTCTACTGGGCAGATACTTTGGGTTGAGTCCAAGATAAGTTGAGTCCAAGATTCATGAGTTGCACTTCTCTACTTCATGTTTGTAATATTATTCTTGTTCACGATTTTCAAAACTTTGAAAACGTGCCTACATATTTAGAAATTGAAGATGAAATATGTAATGGGACACAATGCTAATTTTTAGTTATTGAAGATCATGTCACATGGCCAGCTAACCCAATATCACCAGAAAACAAAATCTAACAAGGAAAGAAGAAACAAAAAGAAAGGCAGATATTTTTCAGAAAGATGGATCACTATGTCGAAAAATATGAGAATGATGGGCACTTACAAGTTTCGCAAGAATAAATCCATAAATGACAAAAATAATTAGACAACTAAAAATAATTGGGCTTTTTCGAATGAGTCGAGGATCCAAATTCCTACTAAATGCCACCAGGCTCACTCTCATGACATAGAAGTGTTAAGTCATAAAAAGTTCCCTTAATTGCAACCTATCTGCATGAGTAGACTGGTAACACCATCATAGTATCATAAGTTTTTTAAATTACATATATAATTGTAAAGTAGGCACTTCCATAGCCATAAAGAAGTTCATTATTCATTAGGCTATCACAGTACATAATTAAGCCTCTCCTAAGGAAAAACCTCAATAACTGACCTTAAACCAAAGATGGGTGCTATCTTGTAGCTACTAAAACCAGCTTCCAGGAAGAGTTTCTTCCATTCTTTCTCATTTCTCTCTTTCCCAGTAACCTGAACCATCATCAGTATATCATAGACGAGCTTTGTTTCTGCAATGTCATGTTCATCTTTCTGATCACCATTTATCACCATGTCTATGATAATAACTTTCCCTCCTCCTTTGCTTGGAATGGCTTCTCTGCATCTCTTCAGTATCTTCACACAATCCTCGTCGCTCCAATTATGCAAAACACACTGCCAATCACTTGTCTTCATCATCATAAATTCTTAAAACATAAATATTTTCCATTTATTTTTCTTAATTTTTTCTCACTATTTTCAATTTTAAATTAAATTTAACAATTTCAGAACTCTTCAAAATTTGGAAAACAAGTCCTCCCTCTTCTATAACTATTCCATAAACAATAGCTGAGTTTGGTAATAAATTAATAATCCCCTTGGCACAAATTTTAGGTAATACAGCAAAATAATTTTGAAAGGACAAATAAGTTATCTCAAATTTCACAAAGAAAGAAAATTCAAACCTTCAATAAAATGGCATCTGCAGAAGGGATAGACTGAAACATATTTCCTCCAACATAATTCAGGTTCTCACACTCTGGAGAGCTCGCGACAACTTGTGGGAGGTCAAATACTGTGCATTTGATATGAGGGAACGCCTCCAAAACAATCCGAGCAACCACTCCTGTGCCACCTCCTACATCAACCAGTGAATGCAACTCTCCAAATATATCCTTGCAGTCTCCAACAATCAGTCTCATCATTTGAGACTCGCTCGCCATGGCCTTATTGAAAATGTTGTTGAATTCGGGGTTTTGATCTCCAAATTCCCACATCTTAACCCCATGTGCAGTTTGGAATGCATTGATATCATTGCTGCGAAACCAATCTCCCAAGAATTGCCATGGAGTGAATAGAACCGGATGAACCGCTGCATGAACAAATGGCGCCAAAGTGATGAGTTCATCTTTGAGGAGGAGCTTAGAACATGGAGTGAGAACATACCCTTCTTCTTCTTCTTCTTCTTCTTGATTTACATGAATTTTCGTGGTAGCGAAGAAATTAGAGTGCACCAATAAGCGCATGAGCCGGTGGACATGACTGGTTTTTGTGGGAGGAAGCTGAAGTGCTGTGACTAGCTGGGGAAGAGTAATGGGTTGTTTATGGTTGTGAATGATGTCTGGTATGCCTAGTTGAAGAGCAGAACTAAGGCACATGGAATTCGCAAAGTTGAATATGTGTTTGTAGATGTGAGCTTGAGCTTGAAACAACTCACTTGATTCTTCACCATGAATGGGATCCATGAATTCTGTAGCTCCTTTTTACCTTTTTTGTTCCTCGCATATTAGTCATGAATCTGCTATTTATAAAGATTCAAAGTAGTTGGATGGGAATCAGGTGCGCGGGAGCCTTAGGCGACTGGCTAGTTAGGCAGTCGCCTAGCCAATAAGAACGTTATCATAATTTTTTATTTCTGAATATATTATAACTTTTTTTTTAAATAATTATGTTAAATATTAAACATCAACAAATAGAGGGATCTGACATTGAGCTAAAAGATTTTTATTGTTTATCACCTTCTTCTATTTTTTTTTCAAGTCCCCAAAATTTTTTTCCTTATATATTATAAGTTACCTAAAAATTTTATTTTATTATATTATTAAACTTCAATCAATAGAGAAATTTAATATTAGGTCCAAAATATTTCTATATTTATATTATTATTTTTTTCTCTCTCGTCCTTATTACATAGGGCTGATCATGGATTGGATCGGATTGGTTTTGGATAAAATTCAAACCAATCCGGTCCTCACGGATTGGCTAAATCAGAAACCAAACCGATCCGTAGGAACTCTCAATCCGAACCAAACCGATCCGTGAAATAATGGATTGGTTCGGTTTGATTCTCACGGATTAGGCTTGACAAAATACAACTAAGAAAACTGAAACTAGAGGCAAAATACTATTTTCGTCATTTAAAGGGAAAAAGAGAATCTATTATTGTTAACTCTGTTCTGAAACTTTTGAAAACTGCATGAATTTAATGATTAAAGAAAATAAAAACATTAATAATGTATTCCGCATATACTTATACTATATATGGTATATAATATATGTATATTAGTTCTACGGATCGGTTTACGGATTGGTTTGGTTTTTTTAGCACCTAATCTATTAACCGATCCGATCATTACGGATTACTAATTTTTCAATCCGTCACCAAACAACGACACTAGAAAACCAAATTGAACCGCACAGATCGGATCGGATTGGTTCGGTTTAGCAGATTGACGGGTTATTTGAACACCTTAGCGTATATATATTACTCCTAGCTATCATTACACCAATCATAAATATTATCCACATTGTGGTGGGACTTGTGAAACTTTCAATATTTTTGTAAGACGCCTATTAACTTTTATTTTCTCTTTTTTTCTTATTCGTCTACATATTTTTTTCCTATGATTATAATTTATTTATTTATTTTTTCATCTTCTCCACTCCAACAATTTACAATCTCACTTTGTCACAAGATATTAAATGAACTTATTATTCCTATTAAAGAAATTTTTAGAGTATTGAACCAAATTCTTCGAAATCAGTTTCTAGTATTCTATAATTTCAATTATTTATAGTTTTATTAAAAAAATTTTTTGGTTAAAACAGTTTTATTAAATTTTGTTATCATAAAATTATTTCTTTTGTTTGTGAGTTGTCATCATTTTTATTTATATTGCTGAATTTGTTTTTTAGAAAGTACATAGTCAATTAGCTAACGACACTATTAGACATTAAAAAATTTGTAATACTACACTTAAAAATAACAAAACAAATAATGAACAGATTACTATCATAAACATATGAATATGTTTTATTAAAAGACTATTTTATTTTTTTTTATTTAATATTTTAAATTATATTGAGCTGCCTATGATGAAAATGCTATTGTTAAAAAAATGTCCTATTGGGAAAAATGACCGACTTGTTTCAAAATCAATAGATACCGTATGAAGTCCTATTAACGAAAGTCAATAGATACCGTAACGACTTGTTTTTTCGTTTAAAGTCCTATTGCATGGTTGACATCGTTTTACAAAATCAATAGATACTGTATTATTAAAAATGACCGACTTGTTTCAAAATTCAATAAATATAAAACCTAAAAAGACTTCTGCTCAAGGCTTGGGTCCCTCTAGCATTATTTTAAGAAATTTATGCGGACTTGGTCCTCTAAATTATGCAGGAAAGTGAAGTATGGTGAGAATTGAATTTACCGATTTAAGTGAGTGGATAAGAATTGTTTGCACCAAAATAACAATTCTGGGAAGCGGTACAATAAATGGTTTAAAGTTGGGATTCTTATTATATGTTGGAATTATTATTTATTATATTTATCATTTAATGGAATTAAAATTTCATAATTTTTTAAAAAATAAAAACATAAAAAAATATTAATTTATCATTTAATAGAATCAAAATTTTATAATTTCAAAAAAATAAAAACATGAAAAAATATTATTTATACTCAGATATACCACTTTTAAACATATATATATCACTTTTTGTGTATGTAGGTGCTACTTTTTGTCATCAGGTATCATTTTTTGTGTTACATAAAAAGTTATACCTGATTTATAAAAAGTGATACCTATATGAATAAAAGTGGTATATCGATTTATGTCTAAAACAAAAGTAGTACTTGATGCACAAAAAGTAATACATGTGTTCATAAAAAGTGATACTTTCGTGAGGGAAAACATTATTTTGGTATGTCCACGTCAGCATTTTAGTTAACTTTACTTTTTCGAAATTATGATACTTTAACTCCATCAAATGATAAATATGAATTTATTTAAATAATAAATATTTAAATTCATGAAATACTGGTAAAAAAAAAAAAAAAAACTTCGAAAATTTTATTATATATATGTGTACCATATGAAACAAAATTATTTATTAATTAATAATATTTTTCGGAGTTTTTTTTACTAGTATTTCATGAATTCAAATAATTTATTATTTATTCATGAACTTTCATACCTTTCGGTTCGTGGAACGAGAACATGTGATATTTTGTCAATATTTGAGTTAGAAAGATTTTTTTGAAGAATAATTGTAAGGAAGAGCCAAACTCATGCAAGTAACCAGTTTGTCAGGAGTAAAGACTTACCTCGTTCCCTCAATGAGAGAAGCCAAAAGCAATTTGATTTGTCATTCTTGACGCTTAGTTGACTTTGTTCCTCGCAAATTAGTCATGAATCTGCTATTTATAAAGATTCAAAGTAGTTGGATGGGAATCAGGTGCGCGGGAGCCTTAGGCGACTGGCTAGTTAGGCAGTCGCCTAGCCAATAAGAACGTTATCATAATTTTTTATTTCTGTATATATTATAACTTTTTTTTAAATAATTATGTTAAATATTAAACATCAACAAATAGAGGGATTTGACATTGAGCTAAAAGATTTTTATTGTTTATCACCTTCTTCTATTTTTTTTTCAAGTCCCCAAAAATTTTTTTCCTTATATATTATAAGTTACCTAAAAATTTTATTTTATTATATTATTAAACTTCAATCAATAGAGAAATTTAATATTAGGTCCAAAATATTTCTATATTTATATTATTATTTTTTTCTCTCTCGTCCTTATTACAAAGGGCTGATCATGGATTGGATCGGATTGGTTTTAGATAAAATTCAAACCAATCCGGTCCTCACGGATTGGCTAAATCAGAAACCAAACCGATCCGTAGGAACTCTCAATCCGAACCAAACCGATCCGTGAAATAATGGATTGGTTCGGTTTGATTCTCACGGATTAGGCTTGACAAAATACAACTAAGAAAACTGAAACTAGAGGCAAAATACTATTTTCGTCATTTAAAGGGAAAAAGAGAATCTATTATTGTTAACTCTGTTCTGAAACTTTTGAAACTGCATGAATTTAATGATTAAAGAAAATAAAAACATTAATAATGTATTCCGCATATACTTATACTATATATGGTATATAATATATGTATATTAGTTCTACAGATCGGTTTACGGATTGGTTTGGTTTTTTTAGCACCTAATCTATTAACCGATCCGATCATTATGGATTAATAATTTTTCAATCCGTCACCAAACCACGACACTAGAAAACCAAATTGAACCGCACAGATCGGATCGGATTGGTTCGGTTTAGCAGATTGACGGGTTATTTGAACACCTTAGCGTATATATATTACTCCTAGCTATCATTACACCAATCATAAATATTATCCACATTGTGGTGGGACTTGTGAAACTTTCTATATTTTTGTAAGACACCTATTAACTTTTATTTTCTCTTTTTTTCTTATTCATCTACATATTTTTTTCCTATGATTATAATTTATTTATTTATTTTTTCATCTTCTCCACTCCAACAATTTACAATCTCACTTTGTCACAAGATATTAAATGAACTTTTTATTCTATTAAAGAAATTTTTAGAGTATTGAACCAAATTCTTCGAAATCAGTTTCTAGTATTCTATAATTTCAATTATTTATAGTTTTATTAAATTTTTTTTTTGGTTAAAACAGTTTTATTAAATTTTGTTATTATAAAATTATTTCTTTTGTTTGTGAGTTGTCATCATTTTTATTTATATTGCTGAATTTGTTTTTTAGAAAGTACATAGTCAATTAGCTAACGACACTATTAGACATTAAAAAATTTGTAATACTGCACTTAAAAATAACAAAACAAATAATGAACAGATTACTATCATAAACATATGAATATGTTTTATTAAAAGACTATTTTATTTTTTTTTATTTAATATTTTAAATTATATTGAGCTGCCTATGATGAAAATGCTATTGTTAAGAAAATGTCCTATTGGGAAAAATGACCGACTTGTTTCAAAATCAATAGATACCGTATGAAGTCCTATTAACCAAAGTCAATAGATACCGTAACGACTTGTTTTTTCGTTTAAAGTCCTATTGCATGGTTGACATCGTTGTACAAAATCAATAGATACTGTATTATTAAAAATGACCGACTTGTTTCAAAATTCAATAAATATAAAACCTAAAAGGACTTCTGCTCAAGGCTTGGGTCCCTCTAGCATTATTTTAAGAAATTTATGCGGACTTGGTCCTCTAAATTATGCAGGAAAGTGAAGTATGGTGAGAATTGAATTTACCGATTTAAGTGAGTGGATAAGAATTGTTTGCACCAAAATAACAATTCTGGGAAGCGGTACAATAAATGGTTTAAAGTTGGGATTCTTATTATATGTTGGAATTATTATTTATTATATTTATCATTTAATGGAATTAAAATTTC